TCGGCGCCGTGGTCTCGATCCGCGAAACTGGCCATCGCTCGGACGTCCATTTCCTGTGTTTTGTTTCGGTTTCGTGCGTGGTTTTTCTTCGCCAAATGATCAAGGATGCTCCTCGATGGTCCTCGCCGAAGGAAAAAAATCGCACGTCCGAGCGATGCCAAGGAAAGTGATGGCGCCTCGCTGCGTGAACGGGCACGCGCGCGTGCGCGCGGATGTCTCTGCAGATGTGCCACATGCGCGGGCGTATCGCTACGCGAGCACCGCGCAGGGTGCGGGGTCTGCGAGAATATCAGCCGGCGTTGACTCCAAATAGATAGGAGGACAGGAAGAGGACGAGAGGAGGATGGGCGCAGGACGAAAGGAAGACGGAAGCAGGACGGGAGGAGGAACATCAAGCACGCGCAAGCAAGCAAGCGGAAGCGAGCAAGCGCAAGCGAGCAATAGCAAGCAACCAAGAGCCAGCGATCAAGCGCAAGCAAGCAAGGGCAAGCAAGATCAAGCAAGCGAGAGCAAGCACGCAAGAGCAAGCAAGCACGTGCAAGTGAGTGTGTGATACTGATGAGGAGGAAAAATAGGAATCATAGGAATCCATAGGAATCCATATGACTCGCCATTAGAAATAGCTGGGGGGTGCCATTGGAAACATAGGAATAAGGGGGGCATAGGAATTAGGGGGGACAACGGACAAATTAGTAGGGTTTGAATTAGAACTCCTATAGGATAAGCCTATTTGGAGAACATGTGAAGTGCTTTCTTGGGTTCGTCAGGCCGCGTCGACTGGGGCTTCCTGGGAGCTTTCTGTGGCTTCCTGTGGCTCCCCTCGGGCTTTCTGGAGTCTCCTCTGGGACCGCCTTAGGCCTCCTGAAGCTTCCTGGGGCCTCCTGAGGCTCCCTGTGGCCTCCTGGACCTTCCTGGAGCGTCTGGAGCGCATGGGAGCGTCTGAGGGCGTCTGGGACGCTTGGGGATTCGCTGGGGGCTCCTGGGAACGCTTGGGAGTTCCTGGAGCATCGGGGAGTGCTTGGGAGCGCCTGGGAGCGTCTGGGCGCGCTTGGGAATGCTTCTGGAGCATCTTCGAGCGACTAGGAGGGCCTGCGAGCGTGTGGAGGCGTCTGGGAGCGTCTGTGGTGCCTAGGGAGCACGTGGACGAGGAGGACACAGAGCAGGAAGGAGGACAAGGACGAACACAAGGACGAGGAAGAGGAGGAGGAGGAGGAGGAGGAGGAGGGGGAGGAGGAGGAGGAGCAGGACGAGGAGGAGGAAGAGGGAGGATGAGGCCAGTACCAAGAACCCGGGCCTCTTCGTCCTTGTGACTCGGCGGAGTTGATGCCGCCTCGGCCGCCGCGGCTCTCCTGCTCCCCCTGCTACCTCCTCCTCCCCATCCCTCTCACACCCTTTCTCCCGCACCCTCCCTTCCTCCATTTCCTGCTCCCCCCGCTACCGCCTCCCCCTCCCTCCTTCCCTCCCTTCCTCCCTCCCTCCCTCCCTCCGCGTCCTCCTCCTCCTCCTCCTCCTCCTCCTCTTCCCCGTCCGCCGTCCCCCCTTCCACTTCCTCCTCCCTCCTTTTCCCTCCTCCTGGCCCCCTCTCACTCCTCCTCCCTTCTCCCTCCCCTCCTCCTCCATCCTCTTCAGCGAGCACTCTTACCCGCGCCCTCCTACCTCCCTCCTGCTCCTCGTCTTCGCCTCGGTCCCCACCGTCGGCGGAAATGGCGGCCCCGGCGGCTCTACAGGGGTCTCCCGCAGCCTGGCCGTCCGCGGGTTCCGCCGCGATCCCGTACGGGCCCCCTTTCCGAAGATGGCACGAGGGGCGCGGCTCGGGCAGAAGCGGGTGGCGCCACGACGCGAATACCACTTACCACTTCCGCCACCACTTGCCCGAACCCGCGCCCAGACTGGATCAGTCCCCAAGTAAAATCGCCCAGAAAGGAAGAGGATGGGGATGAAATGGAAGAGCAAGAGCTGGACGCGCGGCGGGGGGGCGAACGGCGGGGGGGGCGTGAGCCACCAGACCCCATCCTCCTCCTATTCCTCCTCCTCCTCCTCCTCCTCCTCCTCCCCTCCTCTTCCTCCTCTTCCTTTTTCTTCTGCGTATTATGTTTTTTTCTCCTCCACATGTTCGCCCTCCTCCTCCTGCCCCTCCTCCTCCTCCGTCTCCAGATCATACCCTCCTCCTCCTCCTCCTCCCCCTCCTCCTCCTCCTCCTCCGCTCCTCATTCCTTCTCCTCCTCCTCCTCCTCCTCCTCCTCCCCCTCTTCCTGCTCCTCATTATCTGTCTCCTTTTTGAGCTGGCCAGACTTTACGCTTACGAGTGTTCATTCTTGAAGTGCTGCAAAGAAGAAATGGGAGTGCAACGGGTTCGGCGCGAAGGTACCTGGCGGGCGCCGCGGATAAGGCGGCAAAGGCAGACATTGAAGAAGCATCGGTAGAATAGTAGGCCCCCGCCAGGTTACGCGGCTTGTACCCTAGCGCAGGAGACCCGAACAAGCAGGCCATGTAACGAAACTAATGCCAATGGTCAATAAGTACATGCTGCGAACAGTGCAAATGTAAAACAGAACGAGAGCGTTCTCCACATACGCATCTGAGACAGCGTAGGGATCAGCCCCCGCGGGGGCCCAAGTGCGCAAGGTGAGTGCCGCAGTAAGGTTTAAAAAGCCCACCCCTAACCTTCAAAGAAGAGCGTGCAATCTTTGGGCTGCAATCGGGATTCCCTCAAACAGAAAGCTTGCAGTCTTTGGTTTGCGACCTAGGGCTTTGTAGGGTAACCCCGAACCTATGTAGTAAGTTCCTCCCCCGCTACCCGCGAACCCACAAGTGACCCACCACCTCCACCACCATGTAAGCTGTAGCCAGCACGCTCTGCGCAAGCTGTTTTGCTGGGGCTCACGCGTGGGCAGACTGCTCACGCATAGCCTGGTGCAGCAAAATGAAAATGAGAGTTTGTGATGATTTGCTGCGAAAGACGGCGCTGCTGCTGCGCTGCTAATACTCTGCGCGCTGCAAGATGGCTTGTAAGGTTTACATCTAACCAGTTGAACAAGGGCGTGCAATCGTTGGGCTGCTACCCAGGGTTTTGTAGGTAGCCCTGAACCTATGTAGCAAGTTCCCCCTTCGCCACCACCTCAATAAGCCACCGCCTCCAAGAGTGGCAAGGTGAGAAGTGCATTGCAGGTCAAGTGGGGTACCATACTACAGGGGACAGCTAGTAAACTTGGACTGGGGTTTGCCGCGTTCAATGTGCACAGACAAAAATAGCTGTGGGCAAAATGTGGTTGCCTGGCTGTGTCCGCGGCTGCATGTGCACGTGCGCACCGTGCGCTGCAATGAGGTTTTTAAGGTTCACCCGTAATCTCTAAACAAGAAGCATGCAATATTTGGGCTGTGACCCAGGTCTTTGTCGGTTAACCCCAGACCTGAAACTAGAGTTCCACCTCCGCTACCACCATGGTTCAGTAAACCGCCGCCTCCAAGAGTAGCTAGGCGAGGTAGAGAGTGAAGTGCCCAATGCAATAAAGCCCCGGGGCGCCACCCAAGGATGTGCAGGGCAACCCCGCGCCTGCGCATGGTAAGATACCACCGCCGCGTCACAGCCGCGCGGGAAAGGGAGGATAAGTGCATTGCATGTGCTGCTATGGCTCCGTGCGCTGCAAGAGGGTTTTTAAAGGCTACCCCTAACTGTTTCAACCAGGCACGCAATCTTCGGGCCGCGGCCCAGGGCTTTGCAGGGCAGCCCCGAACCCGAACAGAGAGTTTCTCCTCCGCTACGACCTCCGTAGATCAGCGAGCCGCCACCACCAAGAGTAGCTAGGCGAGGCAGAGCGCGTGATGCGCGCAAAGACAAGAAGGCAATACTGGGGCTGCTACCCAGGGATTTGTAAGGCAGCCCAAAGCCTGGATAAGGTAAGAGGCCAGCATCGCGTCATCTTCTGCTTCTGGTTCGACGGACTCACAACAATGCGCATGTGGGCTAGCCCTTTGAGTAGGCTGGCCGCGTGGCTGGCCTGTAGCGCTGCAGGCTGGCCAGAAGCACAGGTCTGGGGTGCGCATGATGGGTGGGGAGTAGACATGCAGCACAGCGTTGTCAAAGTTTACCGCGTGCGCTGAGATTTGTCACTCAGTATTTCTGCATGGGCAGATTGCTCGCGCAGGGGCTGCGACAGACAAACCTGGATAAATGGCGCAGTCGCCAAAGTGCTGCTGCCTGGCCGTGCCCGAGGTTGCGCATGCAGCGTGGCGTAGCAAATTGCAATATCGATAGGAGTGGATGGCGCGCCTTGGGCGCCCGCAAAGTCAGCCGCGAGCGTCTCGCTGCCGGCGTGAACAGCAGCGCGCTAGGCTTGGGAGAGACGCGCGCGCGCGGTAGAGCGCGCGACGCGCGCGGAAAAAAAAGAAAGCAATCCTGGGGCTGCTACCTGGGGCTTTGCAGGGCAACCCCAAACCTGGATAAGGTGAGAAACCATCATCGTGTTAAAGAGCTTGCATGATACACTGGGGCTGGAATCGCGCCGCCATCGACGTGCACTGACAAAGTGGCTGTGCCTGGCTGTGTCCATGGCTGCGCATGCACGTGTGCACTGTGCGCTGACATGCGGATTTTGAAGTCTACCCTTGACCTCCAGGACAAGAGCGCGCAATCTTTGGACCGCGACCCAGGGTTTTGCAGGCTATCCCCGAACGTGAGTAGAGCACTCCTCCTCCACGACGCCAAATGCATGTAAATGTATATATATATATACACGTATAAATAGAGAGAGAGAGGGGGGGGAAACTATATATTAAGAACAGCGACCCACCGCCCCCAAGAGTAGCTGCGCGAGGTAGAGCACGCGATGTGCGCAGAAAAAAAAGAAGCAATCCTGGGGCTGCTCCACAGGGTTCTGTAGGGCAGCCCCAAACACGGATAAGGCAAGAGACCGCCAGCGCGTCAAGGCGCCGCGCAAGCGGGGAGGAGGGGTGCACTGCAGGGCAGGCGGGGCGCAGCGCAGCAGCGGTGCAGGACGCACTGGGACTGACATCGCACCACCGTCGATGTGCACTGAAAAAATGGCTGTCGCTAAAGTAGCGCTGCCTGGATGTGTCCGAGGCTGCATGTGCGATCGGTTTTTGAAGATTTACCTTCGGCCTCGCAAGCAAAGGGCGCTACCGAGGTTTCGCAGGTCAACCCTGGGCCCGAGGGGGGAAGTCCACGAGCGCGCGAAAATGAAGGATGGGGGGCAAGGGGGATGCGCACGATATTGAAAACAAGCAATCCTAGGGCTGCCGCCAAGGGATTTGCAAGCGAACCCCCAACCTGCGCCACCGACGCGTCAGAAGAGCCGCGAGGTGAGAGGGGGGCGGCGCATTGCAGGTCAGTGGTCATGGCATACAGACTGAAATGGCTGCGTGGCCTTTTTTCAGCGTGGGCCCCTCTGCGGAAATTGACCCATTGGGAGCACTCGAAATGGGAAAAGCGATCGTCTGCCGTGGACCAAGCATTGTAAGTCGGTCGTTATGTCTGGCTCGGCTGGCTCGTCGTCATGTTGGTCGGCTTGGAGTTGGGCGCGGCCCTGTGCACCGTTGCCAGGTGATTGGGCGGTGGCTCCCGAAATGACACTCCCATTGTGTGCTCGTTGAGGCAATTGGGGTGCGTCTCGCAGCGAGCCTGGCGCCCGCGTAGGCTGTCGATGTAGTTTTGGAATGTGGTGTCACAGTCTTGGTAATGAAGATGGCACGTCGGTCGAAGATGTGTATATGTTGCTCCCAGCGTCGAGCTGCTTCTTGATGGGCTGCAAGTGCTTGCGCGGCTTGCGTCGGGAAGTATGCGCGCCGCGCCGCGAGTGTCTGCGGTGCTAGCTGCCGCCGCGGAGTGGCTTGTGTGTGTGTATATATATATATATATATATTGCTGTGTGTTGATGTCCTCTTCAGGCGGGTATATGACCGGCGTCGCGAGCGCGGGTGGTGGAGGGTGTGGCGTTAGACGCATGTAGAACGGTGACCATGTGATCACTGCTGTGAATGCGGGTGCAGGTGTGGCTGCCGCTGCTGATGCATTGCTAGTGATAGGCGTTTTCGGCGGTTGCTGGGTCGCGCGGTCGCTAGTGCGGTGCGGTCGTGATTACAGCGGTCGTTCTGTTACTGCGTATCTTTGGCATGGGCGTGCTTGGTATTGTGTTTGGTGTTTGTTGCGCGTGTGGAATGCTGTCTTGCTGCGTGGCTGATGTGGTGCGGACACTTCAGGTTGCTGCGGCTGCTGTGTCGCATGGCGTTCCGTGGCCGGGTGGCGCGCGTAGTCTGATGTGCGTGTTGGGCTGGTCGGTTTGCTGTTAGCGGTCCAGGATGGTGGCAGAGTGGGTGCGAGTGGTTTGAGCATGGGCTGTGCTGATGGTGGTGGTGGTGGCATGGAGTTGTTGCTAGGTCCTCTGTGCTGTACTAGTGATGCTGTCTGTATCGTTGGAGCAGTCGGTGTCGTCGCGCTTGCTGGTAGGTTGCGGCATTGGATCTTGCTGCAGTTGGAGTGCTGCGTCGCGTAGTCGTGCTGCCCAGTGGAACTTCATGTCGTGGTCGTCGTGGCAAGTGTTGAGCCATTGTGAGACTTGCTGTATGGCTTTGGTCTTGGCATTGCTGAGTGGTGCACGTCCTCCTGCGATCAGCGTGGCGATGTGGGCGCGCGCCTGGACTACTTGTACTATGGAAGGTAAGCTGTCCAGGTACTGTTCCGCGAATGCTTGTGAGTCGTTGCCGCGCCGTGAGAAGTTCGGCTGCTTGGGCGGCATGCGCAACGGTCGGTGTGAGTCCGCGTTGACGGCGCCCTTGGGCTTGATCAGCCTCGTGCAAGCCGTAGCAACGAATGTATAAGTGGCCAGTGGTGTAGCTTGAGGATCGGGCAGTAGTGGTGGCCACGGCAGGCGCTGCTTGCCGTTGCGGTGTATAAAGATCTCGTTGTTGCATTAGTTGGGAGATCTATGCCGGCCAGGCAAGCAGGTGGTCACTGGGAAACTTGAATGCGCGTGTCTCGGCAACCTCTTGGCAGTAGACTGCATGGTGCCGAATGTCTTCTCTATGGGTATCTTCGCCTGGGTCGGCGCAGTGCATGCGGGCGGCCCAGCCACTGGGCAAGCGCACGTCATGGTATCTGCCTGGTTTGAGCGGTGAGAGACAAGCTTCGAGAAAGCCATAAACTCGGCCCATCTCGGCCCATGGCTCGTCTCTGTCGCTGTCGTTGTCATCTGACGCTGAAATGTCGTAGCCTTCGCATTGGCCGTCGCGCCGTTGGGCCGTTGGCGCGTCGTCGTTCTGCGTCGGCGGCATCGGCATCCGCGGCGGCTCGGGTGGAGTGGAATCGCGGCTATATTCGCATATGTTTGTCGCGTTCCGCCTTCATTTTCTTGAACGTGAGGGTGGGCATGGTTCGCTCTGGTGGTCGCATTTTTTCCTGACTAGTTGCACTTGAATCGCAACTCCTCCAAGTCGTCGTCGAAGTCCCTCTCGATCTTGTATCGTTCTGCAAGATGTTGCTGCACGAATGCGTAGTGCTCGTCGTCTGGTGGTGGGTCGGCGCGGAATCGGACGCCGTCCTTTGTCTCATGAACATCGGTGGGTCGCATGTGAATTGTGGTCCATGAGGGAGCGGTCGGACGTCGGATGGCTCGGTCTGAACGTAGTTCGGGTTGCAAGCGTCGTAGATGATGCAATTGCTCGGGTACAGCTATGCGATGTCCTAGGCTTCTGGTCAGTTGTAGCCACTTGGTGTTGTGTCTGGTTGTTGATTTGAGTTCGTAGTGCGTTGGTTGTGTTGGGCCTGCATGGCGATCGGGCTGGACGCGCGGCACCCTCCAATTGGTTTAGTAGCTTGCACTCGCAGCTGTTAGCGTCTTCTAGATCGACGTATTCGGGCTGCTCGTGTGCGACTGGTGGGGCGATGCGGAGTCGGCTCTCCTCTAGTATGCATGTTGCCCATGATGAATGGAGGGTCGAAGCGTCTGATGCGCGCAGTGCGTCGGCCATGTAGTTGGTGGGTGAGAGTAGCTCAGACTCTGATGCGACGTTGTGGTGTGAGTCTGTCGTTGAGCATATAAATGTGCGTGCTTCGTACTCCTTTTCGTTGTGCTTGAACTTCGCGTGAATGGCGTGGTCCTCGTCCATATGGAACTCGTATCTCTTAGTGTTCTGTTGACATAATATGTTGTATACTGTTGGTTTGGAGTTTTTTCGGTGCTGTCCTCATTGTAGTAGGAGTAGTTTAGTTGTGCCTTGTTTTGGTCGATGTCGCTGCTGACCTGCTCCTAAGTGCTGTGTATGAATGGAGATTTGCGCAAGTATCTTGGTGGCTCCTCGTCGCCGATGAACGGCTGATGGTCGGCTCTGTGGTCGGCGCTTCTGTAGTATGGAATTGCCTTCGGCCGTTGTGACCAGCGTCGCTCGACGATGGTGCGAGCATGCGCACTTCCAGCCCGCAAATGCTGATGTGGCCGGTCGTAGATTCGGTTAAAATGATTCCTGTTGGTGCCGGGTATGTATGCAATCGTGATTCGCGTCTCTCTCCCGGCCTTGGCCCAGCCCTTGCTGATCGGTACAGGCAAGTATTCGTGGCCTAATCATACTGAGACGTAGACGAAGTGCTTCTTGATGCCGGCCTCGATGATTATGTCCTGCTTGTCTGGCTCGACATGTGCGCGTAGTGGTTGTGCGCGGTCTGGGTTGTATGTGGATGGTGTAGCCGTGCCTAATAAGTCGGGTATGGTATTTTTTGACAGTGGGTACGCAGTAGTGGATGTGTAATCTCGCTTCCTCCATCAATGTGTTTCTCGGTCGACTGTCGGTACAGCGAGTCGATCCGGTATTTGCGTTCTTTTGTGATGTCGTCGTCCTTCTTGAATGACCATGTCATGTGGATCGACAGTGAAGGCAGGTAGGCGAAAGCTGGTACATTGGCACATCGGAGTGTAAGGGGGCGGCGTCGGGAACAGCAGGCTGAATACGCATGTGAAAGCGAACGTGTCAGCTATAGGTTTGAGCCTGATGGACGGGGACTACGTATGAGAAGCTGCATGGGTCATCTTGTCAATCTGTCCAAGCTTCAGAATTGTCCTCGGGTCCATGTCTGGGCCTTCCATCGACGCTTCTCCACCAAGTATGCCTGTCGGGCTCCTGTGTAGGGTATGAGGCTGTCTGTATACCACTGTGACGAATGTGCGGTCTGATGATGAGTAAAATCATCTTCGGCCATGTGTATATGGCGGGTCCCGGCATACAGACTCGTGGACAACTGTATTGGCTCTTTAGTCAAATTATGAATATGATACGTGCCATGAAGTTATAAATCTACTGTCGGTAACTAGTTGTGTTTGGACAGTGCACATGTGTATCAGTAGCTGGGGCAACTGTCTCATAAACAAAGGTCGAATATCGTTGTGCCTCCATGATTCTTCGTAGGTGTCTCCTGGTCGTGCTGGGCCTCTCCCCCAGGTGCGCCCCTTGGAGCTCCCATAGAGGGTATGAGGCGGTAGTTGTCCGTTGCTCGCCTGTATGTGCTGGGTGTTGTTGTGTTGTGGTTGCGTGGTGTTGCTTGGTGCCAGTATGCCTCTCCCCCATTTGTGCCCTGCAGGGCTCCCATGCAGGGTATGAGGCTGCTTGCAGTCCATTCGTGGTTGTGCCGTTGGTCCTCCTCCTCCTCCTCTTCCTCCTCCTCCTCCTCTTCCTCCTCCTCCTCCCCTCCTCCTCCGCCTCCTTCTCCTCCTCCCCCTCCGCCTCGGCATCCTCCTCCTCCGCCGCCGCCTATGGAACCACGCTTCGTTCTGGCCCCTTCTTTCTCCCCCTTCCCTGATATCCGGGCGTTGCAATTGCTTTACACCGGACTTTTCCGCCCAGTCCCAAGCGCTGGGACCATCACAAGCCGATCCGACTCGCAAAATGCCGCAGACAAATAAGGGTCCAGTGGTCTGGCTGAAATGTTTCACGATGTTGTATGTTTCGCATCGTCGGATCTCCAAGTTCTGCCTCATCTTCCTCCAACTTGTCCCTTCTCCTCCTCAGACAAAGTATGCTTCATGTTATAAATAGTATTCCTCCTCCTCCTCCTCCTCCTCCGCCTCGTGCCAACCACCTCCGCCGCCGCCCATGCGACTAGGCAATGTGGGCGACTTTGGGTATCCACCGTCGCCTGTACCGCCTATCCCTCCCCCGCCTCTTCCCCATTCCCTCCTCCTCCTCCTCCTCCTCCTCCTCCTCCTTGTCCTCCTCCCCTTCATCCTCCTTTTCATCCTCCCCCTCCTCGTCCTCCTCCTTCTCCTTCTCCTTCTCCTTTTCCTTTTCCTCCTCCCCCTCCTTCTCCTCCTCCTCCTGTTGCTGCTGCTCCTCCTCCTTTTCCTCCTCCTCCTCCCTCCTCCTCTTCCCTCCTCCTCCTCCTCCTCTCCTCCTCCTCCTCCTCCTCACCCTCCTCCTCCTCCTCCGCCTCCTCCTCCTCCTCCTCCTCCTCCTCCTCCTCCTCCTCCCTCCTCCTCCTCCTCCTCCTCTCTCCTCCTCCTCTTCCTCCTCCTTCTCCTCTCCTCCTCCTCCTCCTCCTTCCCCTCCTCGTCCTCCTCCTCCTCGTCCTCCTCCTCCTCCTCCTCCTCACCCTCCTCTTCACCGTCCTCTTCCTTCTCCTCCCCTTTTTCCTCCTCCTCCTCCTCCTCCTCCTCCTCAACCTCCTCCCCACTGCCGCGGATTGCAGCAAGACGCTAAGGCGTGCGCCATTACTAGAGGGCGCGCGGGGTATCATGGCCCGCCGGGCGGCGCTAGGCCAGCAGGCAGGGTCCTGTCATTGCCGCTTGAGCCGCGGGGGGCGAGACGACGGAGGAGTAGGAGGATAGAGGGAGGAGAAGGAAAAGATGTGGTGGTCCTCCTCCTCCATCTCGTCCTCCTCCTCCTCCTCCGCCTTCCCCTCTCCACCTCCTCGTCCTAATCGTCTTCCTCTCCTCCTCCCTCCCTCCTTCTCCTGAAGAGCCGGCTGGAACATCAGATCGTTCCAAGATTAGGGTTTGGTTTCGTCGGTCCTCGACCGTCGATCCTCGACGGCGATGACGATGGCGCCGAACGCACACAGTCTCGCCCCCGGGTTCATGTTTGACGCCTCCAATGCCCCCAAAACGGCCCTCGAGGGCCGCACACGACAGGCCGACACCTCGCGGAAAAAGCTCAGGCCGCTGGAGAGCGGGGCCTCTGGTTTCGTCGACCCTCGACCTCCGATCCTCGAGGGAAGAACAGCTGCAGAACCCTGTCGACACACACGAGCTGCGGAGCGCATCGCGTAACTTCATCTGCACTTCACACAAGTTTAACGAAACAGATGCTACAGGTCATTGTGTCAGGGGAGCTCTGTACCCCCCTTCTCCGTCGTCGGCGCGCGGACAGCGAAAGCCTCTCGCCTCCTTATCACTGCCAGCATCGCCAACTTTGAACCGGATCTGGCATCTCCCACGGCCCATGCTGGTTACGCCTCTCGCACAGCCAGCAAGTGTCCAAATTAAAGGATCACCATGAGCACTCGGCGCAGGTTCCCGCCAAACGCACTGGTACTGTGAATCAGCGATATCAGTTCTCAGCCGTTACAGTGACTGCAATACAGACGGTCCGTGGAAAGTCGTACTCGCCACATCTTAACAAAAATGGTTTGAACGTGCCCGGCCCGCAAGCCCTGCAAACTCTCCAGAGCTGCATACAGCTTGCAAACGTCGTCGGCGACGACAGAGCTCTTCTTGTCTTAGTGCCGTCTCACCTGTGTCTGGCCCAAGAGCTTTGCTGAACATGTCCAATGGGCTGGCACTGCATGCAATGTGCTTCATCGCCGCTTTGGTGGCCTTCGCCCAGTTCTCGAGCCACAAGAATCTGGCGCGCATCGATATGGCACGCAATGCCCAGGCCCTGACGACTCGCAATATCTTCGCCAGCCACGCTATCGCTGTGGAGCCCGATGGGGGCCGACGTCGCGCAGCATGGGCTGGAGGCCGAGCGCGTGAGTAGCGCCCTTCAGCATGACGCAGTGCTCGCTCTGGCCGCTGGACGACGACGCGTTCGTCTGGTTGGTCGAAGCATGCTTCGCCATGTGAGAACCGAGCATGAGCATCACTCCTGTCCTCGACTTCCGACTCGTAGCCTGTCCAGCCCCAGACGAGTCCACGACTCTATCGATCCTCATGGGTAGTGGCTGCAGTTTGTACTTCAAGCTTTTAGCACGAGAGTGCATGATGTGTCTGCCGAATCGCTTCAGATCCACCATGCCTGACTCGGTCGGCGTCTTCTCATCTTCTGGGCCAGCGCCGATGCGGGGTTGCTCGCGCCTGGTCAGTCTCGGCGCAGATACGACACCGTCATGGCCAGGGGCCGGCGCAAGGTAGCGTCGCTGTCGTTGGGCGGGGGCGACCGACCAGGTGCTAGCATTTCCTTGACGCTCTTCGTGGTCGAGGGTGTCTGGACTGACTTCGCAGCGCCCAAAAGCAGATCACGAGCCGTCGTGTACGCTTGCCTGGCGTCCGCTTCGATGCGAGCCTCTGCAGTCCGCCACCGCGTCCTTCGGCGCGGAGTGGGCGCGCACTCAGGTCCTTTGCCTGTATCATCTCAGGTCCGATCTTCGATCCTGAAGGTTCTGCAGGGGGCCCGGAATCCAACTGGCCAAATCTCCTTGGGCTTGCAACCGGCCCACCTGGCCCCCCCCGCGTCTTTCCGCGCGACGTTCCTGGGGCTCAAGAGGGCCCCGGGAAGGTCCAAAAGAGCCCCGAGAAACTTCCAGGTTGGTCCAGAGAGGGCAGCGAGTCGCCAAAATATCGCTCAGGGCGCCCAAGAAGGCACCCGGACGGCCTAAGAGGCTGCTAAGAGGCCCCACGAGGCGGAAAGAAGCCTCCCAAGAGGGCCCCAAGAGGCCAAACTCAGTAATTTTCCGCTGGTGCTGGAAACTGGCGTTCTTGTATTTTCGGCTTCCCGGCGCTCGAAAGCAGCCCGAGGGTGGCCCTTAATATCACCGCGAGACGGCCCGAAGACCCCCACACGGCCCGGGAGGCCCCCAGGACGGCCAAAGAGGCACCGAAGAGGCCCCAAAGACTGCTCCATGAGGGGGCCCATATGAGGAGCCCGAACGGACGTCCCTCGGCCCCGAGGGGCTTCCAGGATGCCCCAAGAAGCCCCCGGGCAGCCCCCGAGAAGCCCCGAGGGGCCCCGAGAAGCCCCAAGAGGCACCAGAACCGCCACCGAGAGGCACCCGAGAGAGCCCCGAAGAGAGCCCGAAAGCAGCCCGAGGGTGGCCCCTCTGCCAGATGTGGCCAGCACCCACCGCCCCAGAGCCCACCTGTCGGCTCTCCTCCTCGCCTCTTCGCTCCTCGGGCGGGCGGCCCTGGCGCGGAAAGGGGCCCAGCCGGCGCCGAGTAACTGGCGCGCCTGCCCCTCCTCCTCCTCCTCCTCCTCCTCCTCCTCCTCCTTTTCCTCCTCCTTTTCCTCCTCCTTTTCCTCCTCCTCCTTCTCCTCCTCCTCCTCCTCCTCCTCCTCCTCCTCCTCTGGGGACGCGCCGTGGAGCTGCTCGCGCGCCCTGCTCGCGAACTTGCCATCCTCGAACTGATCCCTATCCCTAAGATTGGCACGCCAAGAGGCGACGACAGTCTTAGGGATGCGCCCTCAAAAAATAAGGGAATCCCAAAGATCGGCATCGTGATGAGGAGATGCCCAGCATAGGGATAGGGATATGCTCCAGGCTGGTAAGATTAACTGGCGCGCCACCCCCTCTGGCGACGCCGTGGAGCTGCTCGCGCGCCCTGCTCGCGAACGGGGTCGCGAGCGGAGGGCGCCTTGAAGGGTCGAGGCGGCTGCGTGTCCGGAAAGAAAGCCCTTCGCTGGCGGTAGCAGTCCCTCAGTAAGTCGTCGCACTTCTAGATTCCTCGCTGCCGGCCTCGCGGGGGTAATGCGGACGCTCGAGGTCTGCTTGGTTGGTATCCGCCCAACGCATGTCGATTGGTCGACTTCCTTCTGCCTCCATCTCCCGTCCCGGAACCTTTATGCCCGGGCGTCTCGGCTCCTGCGCCACTCCAGCTCCCCGCGCCTAGCGTCTCTCGCGCGCTGCGGGTGCAAGCAACCGCCGCGAGCGCCATCCACGTGGGCCTCCGCCCCCGGGGCACATGTCCCGCTCGCGCGGCGACGGTCTGGCAGTCCAGCCTGCCAGGTCACTCAGCGACCCTCCGCGTCGAACACCTGCTCGAGGCCTTCTCGGAACGGCCTTCGCCGGCCGTCGAGGGCACCTCTGTGCTGCCCGCGTCCGCGCGTGTCCCCGACTTGGTGCACGCGTCGGCGCGGACCACCAGCTTCCCGAAGACGTCGGCATTCGCCCTGCAGGATCTCCGCCAGGACGCGCCAGGACGCACGGTGTCGCCATCAAGCTGGTCTCCTTGCGGACGAGCGCCTCGCGCCCGTCGGGTCGACGCGATTGCAAGCCCACGCGCGCATGGGCCCGCGCGCCGCGCGAACGCCGGGAGGGCACAGAACGCGTTGGAAACAGGGTCGGAGGAGGAGGAGGAGGAGGAGGATCAGGAGGAGGAGGAGGAGGAGGAGGAGGAGGAGGAGGAGGATCAGGAGGAGGGAGGAGGAGGAGGAGGAGGAGGAGGAAGAGGAAGATGAGGACTCTCCGCTCCGGCGTCGCGCCGGGGCGCCCGCGGGCGCTGGCGCACTGGCGGAAAGGGGGGGGGCGTTGGGAGGGTGCGGAAAAGTGCGGGCACCTCCCGTGCCCCTTTTGGACTCCAGGGGACCCCTCCAGGGTGGCCTTTTCGGGGCCGGAAGAGGCGCACCTCTCCTGACCCCCCCCCCCGCGCCTCGATCGCCCCCCATGACGCAACGCCCGAGGAGGAGGGAAGCCCCCCCCCCAGCGCTCCCCATGACCCAACGCCCGAGGAGGAGGGAGGCTCAGATCTCCAGCGGCGATGAGACTTTTTCAGTCCCGGCGTTCCTCCTCCATCTCGGCGCTCGGGGGGCCGTGGTGTTCGGGCCCCGGGGCCGCTCACCACAGGTCCGAGACGCAAAACTGTCCCTGGGGAAAGGGTTGGGACCGCACGGGGCCAGGGACTGAACAAATCAGATCGGCGGCTGTGCATGGGGGATGCTGGCGACCAGAACGGTGAGGGCATTTTTTTGTGAACTCTTCGAGGGTGAGCGGGCTCACCCGTGATGAAAAGCATGCACAGGCGGGCGGGGCTCCAGGAGCAAGCCCCCTGACTAGGGCTCGTAAGCTTGTGGACCACCAGTTGCGGCCTGACCACGGGTAACACAGCCGCCCTCATTGGATGAGGAATCCTCCAGGGTCTGAAAGCCTCCTGGGCGCATCTCTCCACCGACGCGCCCGCCGCGAGAAGACTCCGACAGATGCGTCGCTCTGCCCTCTCGAAGGAGTGGTGGCACAGGCGGCCGCGCGCTGGCAGGAGGGAGGCCACGCCGCTGCCCCCTGCTCCCGCCGCTGCTGCTGCTGCTGCTGCTGCTGCTGCTGCTGCTGCTGCGAAGGGGGGAGGAGGGGAGGGAGGGGGGGAGCACGGAGCAGGAGGAGCGAGCAGGGGGGAGGAGGAGGAGGAGGAGGAGGAGGAGGAGGAGGAGGAGGGGGAGGAGGGAGGAGAAGGGGAGGAGAGGAGGAGGGATGAGGAGGAGGAGGAGCAGGAGGAGGAGCAGGAGGAGGAGCAGCAGGAGGAGGAGGAGGACGAGCATGTCGGAGCGTGTGAAGACCATGCAGTTGC